CTTCTGAGAGTTCAGAACCGTTAATTATTTTATTTGACATATCAGGCGTGATTACAGGAAGTTGAAGACCGGGAAAACCACGTGGCTGAAGAAAGATAGATGAATCGAATAGCGAAATGAAAATAAGATACTAGAAGAATATATCACGCAAGTGGGATATGGCATTAAATAAAGTTAATACAAATTAGCCAGGATCGTAGGAAAAAAATAATCATAAAAAGCATCAAAATAAAGAGTCAATGTCACATATGGATACTATTAGACTGACTGTGGACTATTGTATGATCATTAAAGCAAGGAAAAGTGAGGACATGAGACAAAAAAGACAGTGTCTTAGAGCATAGTTCCAAACGAGATTTAATAAATATGGTGCAACTTCGTATTACAAACATTGTCACATGGCCAGAGATAATTATCAGCATCATATCGTGGACTTGGTATATTCCCAGACCTTTCACCGGCATTGTCAGTGAGCCTTGTCAGTCCTAGTACCACACAACTCGTCTGAGACAGGTAAAGTCTCTCTGACTAGCCGTGTGCTGAATAGCAGTGATATCTCTCCTGATCTGATGTATTCACCTATCTTATATTATCGTATCACCCCATCTATAACAATTTCTAATTTGTTTATTTTAACATAGTCCAGATGTGCACTTTCGAGCGAATTTATTAAGCGAAGGCATGAAGACCAAGATGGTGTGGCCTTTTGTGTGGTCGCAGTCTCCTTTCGTTTTGTAGAAGTGGTTTGACCTTGTTTTCGCAACTGAGTCATATTGGTAGTAAAACTTAGAGGAACACACTTAGTTCGGAGTCCATTGTATGCATGATAATTTCAAGTAGGACCGTGGATATGGTACATTCCCAGATGTTTTGCCGTCATCATTAATGAGTCTTGCCAGTCTTGCCAGTCTTAGCCCTACATTACAACTCGTCAAAGAGATAAGTGAAGCCGATCCTTTGATAAAATGTGTACTAAACTGTTGTGGTATCACTCCTTCTGTCCTGGGCTATTTAGCTATCCTATATCCTCGTATCACGCCTTCACTATCACAATATTTTCCTTACCTATTTAAATATATTGTGGTGTGCCCTTTTGAGCGGCTTTCATGAAAACCCTCCACAATCCACGCTGACATTCTCACTTGCCTTCACCCATGCGCTAGGAATGTTGATCAGGGTCTGCCATATTGTTACGCAATTCTCCTTCCATAGGTCTTATCAGTCTCCCTCTTGCCCCTTAGGATCCCCATGCTATCCCCTTGGTTCAAGTATTTGACTCGACCCCTGCCACCCAATTTGTGCTCCCCGAGGCGTTATTTCCCAAACTCAGCCTCTGGGAGAATAACTTGAGGCTGAAGTCCCCGCGTAATTCTTATGATCAAGCCTTTGCTTAATGGCAACGTCTACGGTAAGACAGGCCAACTGTCAGCCAACTAGCTCTAGTCTCCGCCTTGTCTGTCCTGTTTCTATCCGTAATACCAAGTCTATGACTTCCTATGCCCTAGTGTGTGTGCCAACCCACAAATGTTGTGGTAGTGCTTGCTTTGATTAGATTCAATGTTGAACCACAATATTTGTGGGTTGGCACACAAGAGAATATGGCATAGGAAGTCATAGACTTATTATTAGGGATAGAAACAGGATAGACGCGGCGGAGAATAGAGCATGTTTGCTGACCGTAGTCTTGTTTTAACATATACGTGGTCCATGAAGCAAAGGCTTGACAATGAGAATTACGCGGGGACTTCAACCTCAAGTTAGTCTCCCAGAGGCAGAGTGTGGGAACTGACGCCTCGTGGAGCACAGATAGGGTGGCAGGGGTCGAGTGAAATACTTGAACAAGGGAGATAGCAGACGGGTCCTATGGGATAAGAGGGGCACTCTGATAAGACCTAGGGAAGGACGGCGTAACAATATGGCGGACAGGGAGTGTCAATAAGCCTCACTAAATCCACCCCAAAGTGCATATCTGGAGCATATTAAAACAAGCAAGTTAGAAATTGTGATAGAGATACGATGATATAAGATAAATGAACGCAACAGAACAGGAGAGATACAATTCAGCTTATCAAAAGATAGACTTCACTTGTCTCTCAGGCGAATTGTAGTTTGGTGCTAAGACTAGCATGGTGCATTGACGATGCCTATTACGATACCGGTGAAACATCTGGGAATTCACTAATTCCCTGATCCGAAGCTGGAAATTATCACGGACAATATGACAGAGGACTCCAGACAAAGTAAGTTTATCTAGTTCTTTCTAAAAACGAAAACTGTTGCGAAAACGGAGTAGAAACCGCTTATATGCAAAGAAAGGACTTAACGGCCATACTAAGATCCACGCCTTCTTGGTCTTAACACCTTAGGGAGCATGTAAGTTCGGTAAGAAAAGCTAGCACTTGTTCAAATGCCTTAGTAGGTAGAGCAAAGATAGCTTGAGTTAAGTACTAAAGACGTTATAAATATAGGGGACTGTTGTCAAAATTGGACCGTGATCCGACTTTGGAAATTGTCATGCATACTATGGACTTCGGAATAGGTGCGTTCCCCTAGTTCTTCCTACCAATCTGACCAAGATGCGAAAAAAGGTCAAACAACCTCTATACAACGAAAGGAGACCACACCATCTTGGCCTTCATATCTTCGATTATATTCTACTCTTTTATAATAGGATATAATTTCCAGAAAGCTGGAGCTCTTCTGACCTATTTAGTACTTAATTTAAGGCGTTAGCTTTATTGAATTCTTGAATTTATTACTTAGCCCGAGTATAGATACACTCATTATCATTAGCTATGTGTGTTATGCTTTTTCACGTAACTTGATTATATTGTCTCATGGATACTAAAAGCTACATCAAGCAAGGCTCTTTCGTAACTCAAAAGGTATAAGGATTGCATCCTAAGCGAAGCCCAAATGTTCAACCTCTTATTCTAGTAAGACCTTACAACTACACTATTTGGGAATGGATACTAAAGGTTTCAAGTAGTTTAATGGATGCTAAAAATAATACAACTGACTCGGCGAAAAGTAGCAGAGAGGGGCCCGGCTCTAGGTAATATCCCTGATGCACAGGATGGCCGATTAGAGGTCAAGTGCTCGTCCAACGGCAGAGCACTTGATGGAAGGTCGGGAGTAGCAACAGAAGCCTCTTGGTCATCACCCTTCGTCCCGCAACTAGTTGGTGTGTGCAATGAACTCCGAGGCTCGTCGACCAGCGGTTTGACAGCTGGCTCCGGTGGGTTACTCAGAAAAAAGGCCTCTGGATTCGCAACAACCCCAGATGTAGTTAACCTTGGCTTCGAAGCACCGTGGGAGGCTATAACAGGCAGATAGACAAGTGAACCAGACGAGACGGCAGTGCCGCTATTAATATTTAATGACGAAGAATCACTGTTCAGCCCAACTTTGGAGATTTGGATGTAACTGCTAAGAAGGCGGTCACTCATGGAACCTGAAGTAGTGTCTTGGAAGCCATGGTCAG